GCATCAGCCTATCAGCAGCCAGCCAGCCAGCACTGTGTAATGGTCGAGCTATAAATAGCGGCCATTTTGGAATTCTTCATTTGCCTGCAGTTATTGAACAGAGGCAGACCGCTCTGTACTAGGGACAGGGACAGAGTTAGGGCCACAGAAACGATAATTGGGGACAGAGAAAAGTTACTTAGGGACAGAGAACCATTACTCAGGGACACAGACTTGTTAATGAGGGCCACAGAATCGTTATTTAGGGACAAAGAAACGCTAGTTAGGGCCACAGAATTCATAATCAGGGACAGACAGAATTGTTACTCAGTGCCAGAGAATTGTTACTTAGGGCCACAGAAACGTTATTAGGGCCACAGAATTGTTACTCAGGGACAGACAGAATTGTTACTGAGAGTGCCAGAGAATTGTTACTCAGGGACAGACAGAATTGTTACTGAGTGCCAGAGAATTGTTACTTAGGGCCACAGAAACTTTAATTAGGGCCACAGAATTTTTACTCAGGGACAGACAGAATTGTTACTGAGTGCCAGAGAATTGTTACTCAGGGACAGAGACAGAATTGTTACTGAGTGCCAGAGAATTGTTACTTAGGGCCACAGAAACTTTACTTAGGGCCACAGAATTTTTACTCAGGGACAGACAGAATTGTTACTGAGTGCCAGAGAATTGTTACTCAGGGACAGACAGAATTGTTACTGAGTGCCAGAGAATTGTTACTCAGGGCCCAGAAAACTTTACTTAGGGCCACAGAATTTTTACTCAGGGACAGACAGAATTGTTACTGAGTGCCAGAGAATTGTTACTCAGGGACAGACAGAATTGTTACTGAGTGCCAGAGAATTGTTACTTACTTAGGGCCACAGAAACTTTACTTAGGGCCACAGAATTGTTACTCGCACAGACACAGAATTGTTACTACTCACAGAACAGACACAGAACTGTTACTGAGGGCCAGGCCAGAAACTTTTACTTAGGGACAAAGAAACGCTAGTTAGGGCCACAGAATTGTTACTCAGGGACAGACAGAATTGTTACGGAGTGCCAGAGAATTGTTACTCAGGGGCCACAGAAACTTTACTTAGGGCCACAGAATTTTTACTCAGGGACAGACAGAAATTGTTACTGAGTGCCAGAGAATTGTTACTCAGGGACAGACAGAATTGTTACTGAGTGCCAGAGAATTGTTACTTAGGGCCACAGAAACTTTACTGAGGGCCACAGAATTTTTACTCAGGGACAGACAGAATTGTTACTGAGTGCCAGAGAATTGTTACTCAGGGCCAGACACTCAGACAGAAGTTACCCAGAGTGCCACAGAATTGTTACTCAGGGACAGACAGAATTGTTACTTAGTGCCAGAGAATTTGTTACTCAGGGACAGACAGAAATTGTTACTGAGTGCCAGAATTGTGCCAGACAGAATTGTTACTGAGGGCCACAGAAACTTTACAGACAGAAACTTTAGGGCCACAGAATTGTTTACTCAGGGACAGACAGAATTGTTACTGAGTGCCAGAGAATTGTTACTTAGGGCCACAGAAACTTTACTTAGGGCCACAGAATTGTTACTCGCACAGACACAGAATTGTTACTACTCGTTACTCACACAGACAGAAACTTTACTGAGGGCCACAGAATTGTTACTTAGGGACAGACAGAAACGCTGTTACTCGAGTGCCAGAGAATTGTTACTCAGGGACAGACAGAATTGTTACGGAGTGCCAGAGAATTGTTACTCAGGGCCACAGAAAACTTTACTTAGGGCCACAGAATTTTTACTCAGGGACAGACAGAATTGTTACTGAGTGCCAGAGAATTGTTACTCAGGGACAGACAGACAGAGAATGTTACTGAGTGCCAGAGAATTGTTACTCAGGGCCACAGACTTAGGGCCACAGAAACTTACTAGGGCCACAGAATTTTTACTCAGGGGGACAGACAGAATTGTTACTGAGTGCCAGAGAATTGTTACTCAGGGAGGGACAGACAGAATTGTTACTGAGTGCCAGAGAATTGTTACTCAGGGACAGACAGAATTGTTACTTAGTGCCAGAGAAATTTTTACTCAGGGACAGACAGAATTGTTACTGAGTGTGCCAGAGAATTGTTACTCAGGGACAGACAGAATTGTTACTGTGCCAGAGAATTGTTACTCAGGGCCACAGAAACTTTTACTTAGGGCACAGAATTTTTACTCAGGGACAGACAGAATTGTTACTGAGTGCCAGAGAATTGTTACTCAGGGACAGACAGAATTGTTACTGAGTGCCAGAGAATTGTTACTTAGGGCACAGAAACTTTACTTAGGGCCACAGAATTGTTATCAGCACAGACACAGAATTGTTACTCTCAGCACAGACACAGAACTGTTACTGAGGGCCACAGAATTGTTTTACTTAGGGACAAAGAAACGAATTGTTAGGGCCACAGAATTGTTACTCAGGGACAGACAGAAATGTTACTGGAGTGCCAGAGAATTGTTACTCTAGGGCCACAGAAACTTTTACTTAGGGCCACAGAGAATTTTTACTCAGGGACAGACAGAATTGTTACTGAGTGCCAGAGAATTGTTACTCAGGGACAGACAGAATTGTTACTGAGTGCCAGAGAATTGTTACTCAGGGCCACAGAAGAATTTTACTTAGGCCACAGAATTTTTACTCAGGGCCACAGAAACTTTAATTAGACCAGAATTGTTACTCAGGGACAGACAGAATTGTTACTCAGAGGTTACAGGGACAGAAGAATTTACTGAGTGCCAGAGAATTGTTACTCAGGGCCACAGAAACTTTACTTAGGGCCACAGAATTTTTACTCAGGGACAGACAGAATTGTTACGAGTGCCAGAGAATTGTTACACTCAGGGACAGACAGAAATGTTACTTAGAGAGTGCCAGAGAATTGTTACTCAGGGACAGACAGAATTGTTACTGAGTGCCAGAGAATTGTTACTTAGGGCCACAGAAACTTTACTTAGGGCCACAGAATTTTACTTACTCAGGGACAGACAGAAATTGTTACTGAGTGCCAGAGAATTGTTACTCAGGGACAGACAGAATTGTTACGGAGTGCCAGAGAATTGTTACTCAGGGCCACAGAAACTTTACTTAGGGCCAGAGAATTTTTACTCAGGGACAGACAGAATTGTTACTGAGTGCCAGAGAATTGTTACTCAGGGACAGACAGAATTGTTACTGAGTGCCAGATAATTGTTACTCAGGGCCCCAGAAACTTTACTTAGGGCCACAGAATTTTTTTTACTCAGGGACAGACAGAATTGTTACTGAGTGCCAGAGAATTGTTACTCAGGGACAGACAGAATTGTTACTGAGTGCCAGAGAATTGTTACTTAGGGCCACAGAAACTTTACTTAGGGCCACAGAATTGTTACTCGCACAGACACAGAATTGTTACTCGCACAGACACAGAATTGTTACTGAGGGCCACAGAACTGTTACTTGGGGCCACAGAAACGTTAATCAGGGACACAGAATTGTTACTGAGGGCCACAGAACTGTTACTTAGGGCCACAGAATTGTTACTTTTTACACAGACACAGAATTGTTACTCAGGGACACAGAATTGTTACTCAGGGACACATAATCGTTTAATTAAAGAGTATGTCAGACAACATGCAGAGGAGTGGCAGAGGAGGCAATGTTTTAGGAGCGAGCAGACGTGGCAGCAGAGGAAGGGGTCGAGGCAGCACTATTCGCAGCCAGAGGCCAGTGCTCCCGGTGTCATCCAGCGGTCGTGTCTCCACCGACAACCCTGCCGTCGTCGATTGGTTGGGCTCGGTCGTCTTCCTCTTCCCAGGTCACCTCTGACACCTACAGCCAACGGTCGGTGGGTACGTCAGACACAACCGTTAGTTGGCATGGCCCGGGACCAAGCCCACTGAAATCACGTGTCCTCCTGTCCCTGCCCCTGTCCTTTGGTGTTCCCTCACCAAGCGAAGTATCGCATGCTGTGGGCTCAGCCCCACTGTACAGTGAGGAAGAGCTAACAGAGGGCGGTCAGGAACGGGGGGAGACATCCGCCTTTTCAGCAGCTAGGCGAAGAAGTAGTGGGCGAGGAGAGTGGCCCGGTAGCCGGTCTAGAGACAGGTCTGTCTCCTGACCCAGACGCAGCCGAGGGGGCTAGTAGTGAGGCGGAGAGACCCTACTTGATGATGAGGAGGTTGATCGCACTTGGCAGCCCTCGTCGTCATCAGGCAATTTCTTCCGCATCATCAGGAGAAGAGGGTGGCAGCTTGGCAGTGAGCGAAACAGTCGGTGGGTTGCCCAGGAGACAGCAGGAGGGGGTCAGCAGCAGTGTCAGTGGAAGCAGTGTCAGTGGAGCCAAACGGCCACGGAGTAGAGCACCAGCTCCACTGCAGCCTACCACCACGGCCAGTAGTGGTGCCGGTGTGCACGGAGGAAGCAGCAGTCAGCCAGTGAGGAGTATCGGGGGCAAAGTTTCCTACTCGGCGGTGTGGCAATTTTTCGTCAAGCCGCCCGAGGAAGTAAACGTAGCCGTATGTCGACTATGTGGCCAGAAAGTCAAGCGTGGCCAGGGGGGGGGCCCATGTTGGGGGACTATTTGGGCCATGTTGGGACAATGGGAGACCTCCCATTGCTGCTGTCTCCATCGCCACACTCTGCCATGTGTGCCACTTTCAGGTCTCCTCACACACTGCTGGTGTGTTCAGAATTTTTTGACATAGGGTGCTGGCAGATTACGGGCCTCCCATATAGCTGCTGCCAGGCCCCTAATCTGCCATAGGCCCCTATATACCGCCTCCTCATGCTGCTGCCAGGTCAGAGTCTGTCATGGGTCCCTGTACGGCCTCCCATTGCTGCTGTCTCCATCGCCACACTCTGCCATGTGCCACTTTCAGGTCTCCTCACACACTGCTGGTGTGTAGAATTTTTTGACATAGGGTGCTGGCAGATTACGGGCCTCCCATAGCTGCTGCCAGGCCCCTAATCTGCCATAGGCCCCTATATACCGCCTCCTCATGCTGCTGCCAGGTCCAGAGTCTCTCATGGGTCCCTGTACGGCCTCCCATTGCTGCTGTCTCCATCGCCACACTCTGCCATGTGCCACTTTCAGGTCTCCTCACACACTGCTGGTGTGTAGAATTTTTTGACATAGGGTGCTGGCAGATTACGGGCCTCCCATAGCTGCTGCCAGCCAGGCCCCTAATCTGCCATAGGCCCCTATATACCGCCTCCTCATGCTGCTGCCAGGTCCAGAGTCTGTCATGGGTCCCTGTACGGCCTCCCATTGCTGCTGTCTCTCCATCGCCACACTCTGCCATGTGCCACTTTCAGGTCTCCTCACACACTGCTGTGTGTAGAATTTTTTGACATAGGGTGCTGGCAGATTACGGGCCTCCCATAGCTGCTGCCAGGCCCCCCTAATCTGCCATAGGCCCCTATATACCGCCTCCTCATGCTGCTGCTGCCAGGTCCAGAGTCTGTCATGGGTCCCTGTACGGCCTCCCATTGCTGCTGTCTCCATCGCCACACTCTGCCATGTGCCACTTTCAGGTCTCCTCACACACTGCTGGTGTGTGTAAATTTTTTGACATAGGGTGCTGGCAGATTACGGGCCTCCCATAGCTGCTGCCAGGCCCCTAATCTGCCATAGGCCCCTATATACCGCCTCCTCATGCTGCTGCCAGGTCCAGAGTCTGTCATGGGTCCCTGTACGGCCTCCCATTGCTGCTGTCTCCATCGCGCCACACTCTGCCATGTGCCACTTTCAGGTCTCCTCACACTGCTGGTGTGTAGAATTTTTTGACATAGGGTGCTGGCAGATTACGGGCCTCCCATAGCTGCTGCCAGGCCCCTAATCTGCCATGGGCCCCTATATACCGCCTCCTCATGCTGCTGCCAGGTCCAGAGTCTGTCATGGGTCCCTGTACGGCCTCCCATTGCTGCTGTCTCCATCGCCACACTCTGCCATGTGCCACTTTCAGGTCTCCTCACACACTGCTGGTGTGTAGAATTTTTTGACATAGGGTGCTGGCAGATTACGGGCCTCCCATAGCTGCTGCCAGGCCCCTAATCTGCCATAGGCCCCTATATACCGCCTCCTCATGCTGCTGCTGCTGCCAGGTCCAGAGTCTCTCATCATGGGTCCCTGTACGGCCTCCCATTGCTGCTGTCTCCCATCGCCACACTCTGCCATGTGCCACTTTCAGGTCTCCTCACACACTGCTGGTGTGTAGAATTTTTTGACATAGGGTGCTGGCAGATTACGGGCCTCCCATAGCTGCTGCCAGGCCCCTAATCTGCCATAGGCCCCTATATACCGCCTCCTCATGCTGCTGCTGCCAGGTCCAGAGTCTGTCATGGGTCCCTGTACGGCCCCCATTGCTGCTGTCTCCATCGCCACACTCTGCCATGTGCCACTTTCAGGTCTCCTCACACACTGCTGGTGTGTAGAATTTTTTTTGACATAGGGTGCTGGCAGATTACGGGCCTCCCATAGCTGCTGCCAGGCCCCTAATCTGCCATAGGCCCCTATATACCGCCCGCCTCCTCATGCTGCTGCCAGGTCCAGAGTCTCTCATGGGTCCCTGTACGGCCTCCCATTGCTGCTGTCTCCATCGCCACACTCTCTGCCATGTGCCACTTTCAGGTCTCCTCACACACACTGCTGGTGTGTAGAATTTTTTGACATAGGGTGCTGGCAGATTACGGGCCTCCCATAGCTGCTGCTGCCAGGCCCCTAATCTGCCATAGGCCCCTATATACCCCTCCTCATGCTGCTGCCAGGCTGGGGTCCCTGTAGCCCTGTGCTGCTCCCATCTGCTCTGTCTCCATGGCCCCTCTGCCATGGCCACTTTCAGGTCTCCTCACACCTGCTGGTGTGTAGTTGAATTTTTGACATAGGGTGCTGGCAGATTACGGGCCTCCCATAGCTGCTGCCAGGCCCCTAATCTGCCATAGGCCCCTATATACCGCCTCCTCATGCTGCTGCCAGGTCCAGAGTCTGTCATGGGTCCCTGTACGGCCTCCCATTGCTGCTGTCTCCATCGCCACACTCTGCCATGTGCCACTTTCAGGTCTCCTCACACACTGCTGGTGTGTAGAATTTTTTGACATAGGGTGCTGGCAGATTACGGGCCTCCCATAGCTGCTGCCAGGCCCCTAATCTGCCATAGGCCCCTATATACCCGCCTCCTCATGCTGCTGCCAGGTCCAGAGTCTGTCATGGGTCCCTGTACGGCCTCCCATTGCTGCTGTCTCCATCGCCACACTCTGCTCTGCCATGTGCCACTTTCAGGTCTCCTCACACACTGCTGGTGTGTAGAATTTTTTTGACATAGGGTGCTGGCAGATTACGGGCCTCCCATAGCTGCTGCCAGGCCCCTAATCTGCCATAGGCCCCTATATACCCGCCTCCTCCTCATGCTGCTGCCAGTCCAGAGTCTCTCATGGGTCCCTGTACGGCCTCCCATTGCTGCTGTCTCCATCGCCACACTCTGCCATGTGCCACTTTCAGGTCTCCTCACACACTGCTGGTGTGTAGAATTTTTTGACATAGGGTGCTGGCAGATTACGGGCCTCCCATATGCTGCTGCCAGGCCCCTAATCTGCCATAGGCCCCTATATACCGCCTCCCTCATGCTGCTGCCAGGTCCAGAGTCTCTCATGGGTCCCTGTACGGCCTCCCATTGCTGCTGTCTCCATCGCCACACTCTGCCATGTGCCACTTTCAGGTCTCCTCACACACTGCTGGTGTGTTTGAAATTTTTTGACATAGGGTGCTGGCAGATTACGGGCCTCCCATAGCTGCTGCCAGGCCCCCCCTAATCTGCCATAGGCCCCTATACCCGCCTCCTCATGCTGCTGCCAGGTCCAGAGTCTGTCATCATGGGTCCCTGTACGGCCTCCCATTGCTGCTGTCTCCATCGCCACACTCTGCCATGTGCCACTTTCAGGTCTCCTCACACACACTGCTGGTGTGTTAGAATTTTTTGACATAGGGTGCTGGCAGATTACGGGCCTCCCATAGCTGCTGCCAGGCCCCTAATCTGCCATGGGCCCCTATATACCGCCTCCTCATGCTGCTGCCAGGTCCAGAGTCTGTCATGGGTCCCTGTACGGCCTCCCATTGCTGCTGTCTCCATCGCCACACTCTGCCATGTGCCACTTTCAGGTCTCCTCACACACTGCTGGTGTGTAGAATTTTTTTTTGACATAGGGTGCTGGCAGATTACGGGCCTCCCATAGCTGCTGCCAGGCCCCTAATCTGCCATAGGCCCCTATATACCGCCTCCTCATGCTGCTGCCCAGGTCCAGAGTCCGTCATGGGTCCCTGTACGGCCTCCCATTGCTGCTGTCTCCATCGCCACACTCTGCCATGTGCCACTTTCAGGTCTCCTCACACTGCTGGTGTGTAGAATTTTTTTGACATAGGGTGCTGGCAGATTACGGGCCTCCCATAGCTGCTGCCAGGCCCCTAATCTGCCATAGGCCCCTATATACCGCCTCCTCATGCTGCTGCCAGGTCCAGAGTCTGTCATGGGTCCCTGTACGGCCTCCCATTGCTGCTGTCTCCATCGCCACACTCTGCCATGTGCCACTTTCAGGTCTCCTCACACACTGCTGGTGTGTAGAAATTTTTTTGACATAGGGTGCTGGCAGATTACGGGCCTCCCATAGCTGCTGCCAGGCCCCTAATCTGCCATAGGGCCCCTATATACCGCCTCCTCCTCATGCTGCTGCCAGGTCCAGAGTCTGTCATGGGTGGGTCCCTGTACGGCCTCCCATTGCTGCTGTCTCCATCCCACACACACCATGTGCCACTTTCAGGTCTCCTCACACACTGCTGGTGTGTAGAATTTTTTGACATAGGGTGCTGGCAGATTACGGCCTCCCATAGCTGCTGCCAGGCCCCTAATCTGCCATAGGCCCCTATATACCGCCTCCTCATGCTGCTGCCAGGTCCAGAGTCTCTCATGGGTCCCTGTACGGCCTCCCATTGCTGCTGTCTCCATCGCCACACTCTGCCATGTGCCACTTTCAGGTCTCCTCACACACTGCTGGTGTGTAGAATTTTTTTGACATAGGGTGCTGGCAGATTACGGGCCTCCCATAGCTGCTGCCAGGCCCCTAATCTGCCATAGGCCCCTATATACCGCCTCCTACCGCCTCCTCATGCTGCTGCCAGGTCCAGAGTCTCTCATGGGTCCCTGTACGGCCTCCCATTGCTGCTGTCTCCATCGCCACACTCTGCCATGTGCCACTTTCAGGTCTCCTCACACACTGCTGGTGTGTAGAATTTTTTGACATAGGGTGCTGGCAGATTACGGGCCTCCCATAGCTGCTGCCAGGCCCCTAATCTGCCATAGGCCCCTATATACCGCCTCCTCATGCTGCTGCCAGGTCCAGAGTCTCTCATGGGTCCCTCCCTGTACGGCCTCCCATTGCTGCTGTCTCCATCGCCACACTCTGCCATGTGCCACTTTCAGGTCTCCTCACACACTGCTGTGTGTAGAATTTTTTTTTTGACATAGGGTGCTGGCAGATTACGGGCCTCCCATAGCTGCTGCCAGGCCCCTAATCTGCCATAGGCCCCTATATACCGCCTCCTCATGCTGCTGCCAGGTCCAGAGTCTGTCATGGGTCCCTGTACGGCCTCCCATTGCTGCTGTCTCCATCGCCACACTCTGCCATGTGCCACTTTCAGGTCTCCTCACACACTGCTGGTGTGTGTTAATTTTTTGACATAGGGTGCTGGCAGATTACGGGCCTCCCATAGCTGCTGCCAGGCCCCTAATCTGCATGGGCCCCTATATACCGCCTCCTCATGCTGCTGCCAGGTCCAGAGTCTGTCATGGGTCCCTGTACGGCCTCCCATTGCTGCTGTCTCCATCATCGCCACACTCTGCCATGTGCCACTTTCAGGTCTCCTCACACACTGCTGGTGTGTAGAATTTTTTGACATAGGGTGCTGGCAGATTACGGGCCTCCCATATAGCTGCTGCCAGCCAGGCCCCTAATCTGCCATAGGCCCCTATATACCGCCTCCTCATGCTGCTGCCAGGTCCAGAGTCTCTCATGGGTCCCTGTACGGCCCTCCCATTGCTGCTGTCTCCATCGCCACACTCTGCCATGTGCCACTTTCAGGTCTCCTCACACACTGCTGGTGTGTTGAATTTTTTGACATAGGGTGCTGGCAGATTACGGGCCTCCCATAGCTGCTGCCAGGCCCCTAATCTGCCATAGGCCCCTATATACCGCCTCCTCATGCTGCTGCCAGGTCCAGAGTCTCTCATGGGTCCCCGTACGGCCTCCCATTGCTGCTGTCTCCATCGCCACACTCTGCCATGTGCCACTTTCAGGTCTCCTCACACTGCTGGTGTGTTGAATTTTTTGACATAGGGTGCTGGCAGATTACGGGCCTCCCATAGCTGCTGCCAGGCCCCTAATCTGCCATGGGCCCCTATATACCCCGCCCTCCTCATGCTGCTGCCAGGTCCAGAGTCTGTCATGGGTCCCTGTACGGCCTCCCATTGCTGCTGTCTCCATCGCCACACTCTGCCATGTGCCATGTGCTTTTCAGGTCTCCTCACACACTGCTGGTGTGTAGAATTTTTTTGACATAGGGTGCTGGCAGATTACGGGCCTCCCATAGCTGCTGCCAGGCCCCTAATCTGCCATGGGCCCCTATATACCGCCTCCTCATGCTGCTGCCAGGTCCAGAGTCTGTCATGGGTCCCTGTACGGCCTCCCATTGCTGCTGTCTCCATCCACACACTCTGCCATGTGCCACTTTCAGGTCTCCTCACACACTGCTGGTGTGTAGAATTTTTTGACATAGGGTGCTGGCAGATTACGGGCCTCCCATAGCTGCTGCCAGGCCCCTAATCTGCCATAGGCCCCTATATACCGCCTCCTCATGCTGCTGCCAGGTCCAGAGTCTCTCATGGGTCCCTGTACGGCCTCCCATTGCTGCTGTCTCCATCGCCACACTCTGCCATGTGCCACTTTCAGGTCTCCTCA